TCCGTTTGAAAGGATTGCAATCGATGTGGCGGGGCCATTTTCCGGAACTAGACGAGGAAATAAGCACATATTGGTAGATATTGACTACTTCAGTAAATGGCCGGAGGCGTATGCAATACCAAACCAAGAAGCAACAACGGTAGCAGAAACGCTTGAAGATAACTGGACTAGCCGATTTGGTGTCCCCATGGAGCCAAACTCCAACCAGGGCAGGAACCCTGAGTCTAGGGTACCTCAGGAAATGTGCCCGGGTGCTTGGCATTGACAAAACTCGCACCAGCAGTCGGATAAAAAAAATAGATATTTAAAGAATTGTAATTTCTTGACCACTCATGTTATATTGTTTTGAAAATGTCTAAAAAATAATTTGGTATTAAATGAATTGTAATTTTAAAACAAATGTTCAGAAAGAAAAAAAAAAGTATAGACCTAGATCTGGTAGATCCCTTTAGACTACCCTGGCATTCCGCTCTTTTAAGCTTGACATTAAAGAAAACTTCGGATGTTGAAAAAGCTTTTTAAAAATTTCCATGGTATTAAAATTAACCTTCAGACTTTGCGATCCATAGGGCAGATGATCTGAAGGTCTACTATTTCTGTGGCCGACGGTTAAAGAGGATGTCATATGGTCAGCTCAACGACCAACTGATTTTCTTTCCCCAACTAATGTCAGGTCAGGTACCCATTAAAGCTGAATGGACCCAGAGGCGCCCTTAAAATCCCGAAATAATCTCAGTCTTCAACGAGATTCTAACCCGGGATTCCCCTGTTCGGAAGCCAAGCGGTTCACCACCTGGATACTAGACCCCCCAAGCAGATCAATACCAAGTCAACAATGCCCCAATTATGGTGCCTGTTAATTGACTATCTAAAGAACCCATCTATGGTTAGCCGTGGAATAAAAATCGTTCTCAAGAAATCCAACATAGAAAGATACTCTTAAGAGCCTCTTAGAGGAATGTGGAGTAGCGACCCTTGCTTAAGGAAAGCTGGCTCATGATCGCTCATCATCTCTCGAAGCTGTCAGCATAGAAATAAGATTAGCTTAGAGAAAGAGCAGACAATACTGCAGTAGACGTACATGCTAGACGTGTTTTGAGTGTGATCCGCTTTTCAAAGTGAATCTTCGACTTATTATTTTACGGTACACGGATGTATGCAAACGCGACATGAAGCTCTTCAAAATCGACACTAGCGGCTGGGAAAAAGTGGCACTGGATAGATCCACATGGAGATCGAGCATAAAGGAAGGGTCCCGGATTGCAGAAGCCATACACAACAGAACTAGAAAGAAGGGTGAAAATGCAAAGTAGCTGTGTATCAAAGATTGGCTTCGGCAGTCACACAAGAGGTTGTAAAGGGAAAACATTGTCTCTCGAGACGTAAAATGCCATATATATTAATACAAGTGATGGGAGATTAGTAAACAAGCAATGTAACTTTTCGTCTATTCATGCCTTGTAGTATCGAGGGAGATTCTGCAGAATTAAGGAACGATGATACCAAAAGATCTCGAGCCCAATCCCCCACGCCCCACACCATCAGTTCGAAATGGCATCGAAAATGTCGTGCGCTTGCGTATGTTGGTTAGTATATGAACTTCTTTAATTCTATTTGGACAGTTGTAGAGTTGTAGAGTTGGACAGTTGAACAAACAAAGGTCGTGAGTATAATCCTAATTTTGATCCGAAACTTTCCAGTGTGTGTGGTGGGGGAGGGGATCGCAAATTAGTCACATGGTGCTGGAGACATTTAGCCCTCTAAAATGGTTGGTCACAAAAAAAAGCGACCTCTTCAATACCTTCTGTATAAGGCAATAGTTTCAACTGCTCGCAGGGGAAGGTTGGTCACCAACAAGGAAGCAGTTTGTGGTCTATCGTGAGGTTTGTAGTTAAAGTCTTGATCTCTATCAGTATGTTATTAATATTAAAAAAAAGCTATCTTCCGGACTTCGATGTCTTGTTGTATTAAGTGCTGATGAAACATGATGATAATTATAATAAGAGAAAGAGAAGCGCATTCTCTTTCCGTCTCCCACTTCTGGAAGTTTCTGACTTTACGTGTTTATTAGAGTCCTGTTTCTATGCTAGAAAGAAATAATATGACAAATATAACGGGGCGGGCATTGTGGGAAATAAGCAATCGGTTCGAAAACTGTCAAAACTGTCCCCGTTTAGATCTGGAGCCACCTTAGTGAACCCCGTCAGATTCTAATCCATTACAGTTGGAAAAGATTTCTACTTAGTAATCAAGAATAAAGAATAGTGTGGACATCTTTGTCTCTGACCAAATTCCCTCCTGTTGTGGAGAGCGTTCTGGGTTTCATTCGTTTCTCTGTCCCTTTAGGTCTTTGTTTCAAAGTTTCCCAAAGCCAGGGCCGGTCCTACAGATTGCGAGGCCCTATGCGAAACGGGTTGCGCGGGGCCTAGTCTGGATAGGGATGAGGATAATAAGTGAAAAGTAAGATTAGTTTTTGTTTGAAAATAAATACGGCTTTGCATTTTGTTCATACTTTACTAAGTTCACAATCACGGTCAAATTAAACTATGAGCCATCTACAATAAACCGCTAAACATTCAGATCTGCCTTTTAGATTTACTAGCAAAATATCGCTTTTGAAATTTTAAAGAGATCGAGATAGATTTAGATCTATATTTGCATGCCACTGAATATTATAGTAAAAAAAAAAGTATTGGAACTTGTTGTTTTGGTTAAAATTCACCTTATTATTTTTATTAAATGAAAGCTGACATTGTCGTTTTTTTTAATCACGAGTAGGATTGGCGTTTTCCATCTTGAATGGCACTCCAAAATTTTTTGTCTAATTTTTAGGACATTTTTATGAGTTTTCAGGATATTTTAATAATTTCAGGAGGTTTCCAAGACCTGGAAAATCTAGAGGGAGCGGAAACCATGTTAATTTAAAATGGTTTAATTTAATAATTTACAACTAGTGTTAGCGCGGGGCCTATGAAAGTGCCGGGCCCACTGCGGCCGCATAGGTTGCAGTGCCCTAAGGCCGGCCCTGCCCAAAGCCTTGCACCCTGGAGAACTTCATATACCTATTATCTGACAACTACGATTTTCAGTTGATGGGTACGTGTGAAACGGCGCGGAAGACTTTCTGTACTCGGCTAGCGTACTTCTTCACTGCTTTATAAAACATGGCTATTGTGGTTCTCTCAACCCTTTTATATGGATCTGAGACATGGATACTATACAGAAAACAACTAAGACTACTTGAGCGCTTTCACCAAAGGTGCTTGCGCTCCATAATGGATATACGGTGGCAAGATCACACAGCGATTTCTTGCGAACGCCGGTATGGACAGTATAGAGGGACTTCTTATGGTCCGACAGTTACGCTGGGCAGGGCGCGTATCCCGTATCGGGAACGAACTTATGCCAAAGACTGTTTTTTTTTTGTGAGCTAAAAGGTCGTCGACATAACGGAGGCGCCCCACTGAAACGCTTCAAAGACCAGCTTAGGCGCCTACTTGCCTTGGCTGACATAGAAGAGAGCACCTGGTTGCATGCAGCCTCAGAACGAGACAGCTGGATGTCACTCACAACGGACGCGGGAAACACATTTGCGAAAATCTGCTGCCGAGGACAGACGCAGACGGCGAAAAGAAAAACTTAAATCGACTATATGCGGACAATGGTTATGCTCTCCCTGGATGTGGCAAAATATGTAGGTCATAGTTGGGGCTTCGCAGCCACAGGAAATACTGCATTCCTCACTGATCTTCGGACTCGAAGACATGCCTTATTATTATTATTGTGAAGCCCAGAGTCAAGCAATGCAACAAGATCAGACATTTTTTAAACTCTATTTAAATGATCAAATAAGCCTTTACACCAGAACTTTAAAAATTTAAAAATATGATGATATAGAATTTTCAATATCTTTTCTTGTTATTGCGATGTAAACGGGACGGACAGACAGACCACACAAAACTAGTAGTGTCTATTCCCCTTTTGAAGGCCGCCAGAAAAAGAAGCTTGAAAAAAAAAAAGACACCATGTTGGCATGATAAAAAAAATTTATTCATCATAATAGTTTATATGTTTGAACAATGTCAAAGATCATTCATCGCATTGGCCGAAATAAAAGGGGTCATTGCGACACATTTTTAAGGCTTTTATGTAGGTCAAACATATCTTTGAATGATGGTAATAAAAAAAAGCAACAACAAAAAAACAACAACATCGAACAACAAAAAGAAAAAAAATATTGTCAATAAATAATTAAAGATAAAACATCAGAGATGTTCTAAGTACATGAGCACTAAACAAGTAAAACAACATCCCAACAGTGAGTCTCTTTTGATTGACTGTCAGACACCCATTTCTAACAATACAATTATTTCACACTGAGAGGAAATCATTTTGCTCCTTATAACCGGCTGGTTTGATTACGTGAATATTGTCTGTGCAATACGAATGTTTCTATAATTTGTGGATTCAGTTCTAATAATAGGCTGGTCAGATTAGACGGTGATCCGATTAACCGGATTTGACTGTAATATAAATTATCAACATTAAAAAGGTAGTTTGTGTTACACAAAGAACTAGTAGGAGGCCCCAGCAGGTCTTCCACATGACCTTCCATATATCACACGTAAAACACTTTTGTTTTAAAAAAGGACATTAAAGTTATCAATATAAGATAATTACCAAGAGCATAATTAATAAAAAAAAACTTTCGCGACTTTCTTAGCTCTTTTTTTTGAAGGTCCTAAAATTGTTAGAATCGCGGACAGCCAAAAATGTACTAGTCCTAAGAGTTGAGCTAAAGACTTTTGGAGCTCAAGGCCTATGGAAGCTTCTCTCCATCGGCCTATCTCAACAACTGTTGAGACTGGGGCGGATTCAAGAAGATACGATTGGTTACATCCGTATTAGGGCTACCGATCACTTGTATCCAAAGACATTTCCCAAAGTTTCCAACATCGCTAAGCACAGATTTATAAATATCGAAATCTAATATAGGTCAGGGAGTCGAAAATGAAACTTGCCTGGAAATGACGTAAGATATGTTACAAAAATAACTAATAAGGAAAAAAAAAAAGAAAAGTAAGAGACAAATCATGCGCAGAGAGAATAATTAGAAAACAAGATTGCTAAATTCTGTCATGGCGTAGCCTTGCAACTACATTATTTCCGAATAAATGAAGACAATACAAAACATATCTAATCTACGGGGGGGGGGGGGGGGAAATCCGACACCAAAATCAAAACAAGGCAAAACAAAAAGACAAATCTATTTTGAATCAAATACCAGGCAAAATATTTTCAGAAAAAAACAAAACATTATCTAATGGGAAAAGCTCCACATTTACAGCCTTTATATCACAAAGCTGTTTGATTATTTCCTATTTTGATATTACACACAATTTAAAAAATGACCTAATTAACTGATTTGTTAATTTTTTGATTGATTGAAGTTTTGTTAGGAACAATGAATAATTGTGTATACACATTTTCAACTTGATCCTAGATTAGGAAGTGGGAGAATTAACGTGTTCAAAATTGGTACCAGACAGAAGGGTTTTGTAAAAACAACATTATTTTGAATCATAAAAGCTATATAAAATTCCGATATGATTCATACATCACCACACACTACCATTTGGTTCGGTATCACGGATTTGGACTACATAACCCTCGGTTTTTAAGCCAAATACCACAAGACCCAGCCACACCGTTCAAGACTCAGATTGACATTCACAAAGTCAAAATGTTGGCCCAACTTATGTCTGAAGATCAGTGCATGATCAAGTGTGTTGTCATGGCGACTGAACAAGGCATAGCAACGATTTTGACTACACAGTAGTGAATTTCATCTTTATGTAATATTTCAAGTTATGATTAATGTCTCTGTTGTTTAAATGGTATAAACAATAATCAATGCGTTTGAATTTTGAGAAAAAACAACAACAACTGTACTTTTCTAATAGAATTAAATATAGCCATATATAAGACCAGCTTAGGCGCTAACTTGCTTGAACTGAAATGAAAGAAAGCTCGAGACCGAGACAGGTGAAGGTCACTTACAAAAGCCGCGGGTACAAATTTGAGTCCAAAAGAAATGCGCAGCCACGGGAAATACTGCATTCCTTAATTAGTCTTATTATATATATATATATATAATGTGAGTTGCATACTGTGGAAGACAATAAATGAAATTAGTCAATAAATTTTAAGCTTCACGTTAAGTCTATTTTTTTGGGAATTTATCATTGACATTAAATTATAGGGTGTGTTAATAGTGTGCTTTTGATCTTATTATGAATTCTACTTGAAGGCTAAAAAGTATTTTCTTACGGAAAGAGGAATGTCGTTATTTCTTCTCCAAACAAGGTTCTCTCGGCATGCACTGGGTCATCATTCTTAATTCCTAAAATGCTATGACCAATTCACCTGCCCATGCCATTGTAACACCTTTGAGTACGTGTGGGTCCACACACCTCCACTTGAGTAGCTACGCCCCTTCGATAAGTGAAACATCACGACACAGAATGCACTAAGGTTAGAACCAGAAGTGTACACTAACTTGATGTGAAGTACATTAAATCAGTACCTCAAGACATGGGATGCAAAGATTTAAGAGTTAATTTATAGACTATCTTACTTGGAGTATTGTGCATACAAGTGATCAGACTCATGTATTGTTCTAGCATATCATTTAGATCTTGTATCTGGTGTGTTTTATACATATGTTTAATATAGTTATGTTGAATTACCATATGTTTAGTAGAGTCTATGTATAGAATGGCAATGCACAATAGCATTAATGTAAGTACAAATAAATAGCGTAGTTTTTTAAAAGTAAACCACATACAAAATTTGAAAGTGTCTTTGATGGTCATATTTTCAATACAGTTTTTATTTACAATCTCTCAATCCAGCAGTCACTCACTGATACAAAGATCTCTCATTCAATCACTGATACAAGATCACTCATTCAATCAAAGTCATTCAATTATACAGTTGATCATGTACATAATGGACATCAACGTACATAGCATTTTATAAATGATAAAACAACAAAATTATGAAACAAAATAAAACACAAAAAAACACCAAGAAAACCATTCTTGTTTATAGAGAGCATACCTCTTCAATCTTCAATATTTCAAACTCAAACATTTCAATAACAACATCATTTTTGAGACAGGGTTTATAGGCACGGCCTTTTTTACACAAACTAGAATTCACTGGCGATGGTCGGTGAACCAAATGTGGCCCGATAGTTTCAAAACACATTTTTTTTAAATGCTGCAATGATTGGCTAAAACATTCAATTTTATAATTAAAAAAGAATCAAACTTTTTTCAGTCTATTTGATCACACTGGTGAAACTGGATTATCACTTACACATTGTAGTAACAGTAGGACGACATTTAAAAGTATTTAAGTTCCACGTACCTGAAATAATGTCAATATTTGTTTTTCGACAATTAAACTGTAAGTGACCAGATCATACAGTTGTTATACATTTCGGACAAGCGTAAACTTCATTAACTCTGTTCCATTACATTTTTCTAGCATAGTCCCTTCCATAAATGGCTGCCTGGTCGTGTGATTTGCGCTCTGGACTGAAATTTGGATTTTTTAAAATGGTCCCGGGTTAAAACCCTTTTCCTCTCCCATCCCGTCGTGCTGCGGGACGGTTCGGACTCGAGGAGAGTAAATTATCTTCAGCTCTGAAGGAACATCCGAAACATGCAAAACATTTTACATTTTACAAAGAAGGCAAACTGTACGTTTTAATTCATCTAAAGAATGTATATAAAGTCCAATCCTCGCTTTAAAAAGCCGGCCGCATAGTGGCATGGGTAGGTTTGGTCAGTTGCAGATAGGCATGCTTCTTTTCTCAGCTTTTTGTAGGCTAGGCGCTCTTTCGCGCTGGCCACTCCCCTTGCTTCGTATTTCGAGACTCCGACACTCACAGCTTCACGACCTGGGGAGCGATCGAGAGCTAGTGCTTCCAAGTCGTGGATGTCAATATTTAAACAATGAACATATGCTATTCGATCAGTGATCCCCAATCAGGGATCGTCAACCTGGATCCGCCTAAGAACGATTTATTGAAGAATAGAAAAAAAATATTCTCCGTGAAGGTTCATTTCACAAGTGGCTTATTATGTTTTTGGCCCCGGATGAGTACTGTATGCTCTAGTGGATTTTATTTGTTGTTATTATCACTTTTATGGAATTTACGACTATAAATATCTCGAGCCTAATTTGAGTCTCAAAGCGTATAATTTGATTTCAGAACTGGAGTAAAACTGCACATTTTGAGAAAAGTGTTTATGATGAAATAAAAAAAAAAGGGCAGTAAAAAAATATCTGTTTTTGTTTACTATTGGGATGTAGATTGACATAAAACAAAATACTAACATTAAAGGGTTAAAATTTGTATCAATATTTATGTATAACAAGGTTACAAAGACAGTTTGTGAGGAAACATAAACTCAAAATCGGCCCCCAAAGTGGTCCACCCAGGCAGGTAAAAAGGCAGGTTTCAATATTTTCAGAAAGAACATCAGAATGAAATTCTATCAAAGACCAAAGACAGAGAAAAATGATGAAAGAAGGTTGACAGATCTTATGTGGTGCCCCAGCGGTCCAGCAGACCAAAGGATAGGTGAAAGTGAATGTGAAGTTAGATGTGAACCTGGCCTAACTGATGTCTTATAATGAGTATCTAACTGATTTAATTGTTTTGTAAAGGGTTAATCTCTTATTCAAATCGTGAAGAAAAAGAAATTTCCGTAAAAAAAAAAAAAGCTAAGTGTACAATTTTGATTAGGCAGCACGCAGTTCACGAGATAATATGAAAACCTACTTATTAATTGTTGTTTTAAATTATGTCCAACGTATATGCATTATTTATGGGTCAATGGAGTAGTTAGTAGAACAGACACTTACATAAACGTAAAATAATTCTTGTTAACAAAACGTCTAAAACCATGTGCATAAATGTCTTTCAAATAGGACGATGCCGGATTTTCACTTATCTTTTCTAGACGTACAGACGGATAGATATTGCACACAAAACTAATAGCGTCTTTTCCCTTTTCGGGGGCCGCTAAAAAAGGGTTAATATAATTGATTGGTTCAATTCGACTTTTTTTTGTAATTTATATAATTATAAATCAATAGTGAGATAGTATTAATAATTCTTATTTTTAAAACCTTGAATTTAATAATATTTTTTTACATAATTTTTTAGCTCAAATGCAATTTTATGTTCACTAACTCCCAATCTGGAAGAAAAGTTTGAACAAAAATTTATAATGAATCTTCCATGTACTGTCTCAAATGAATGTAATAATATTTCTTCAGGAGAAGTAGATAATTTTATTCAGTGCTGCTAAGCCTTTTTCGACTCGCACATGTCTTGGGGCGAACAAACTCGAAAGTACACAATTGATTTTAAAACAAAGCACAAACCATTTACAATAAATTACATTATAAACGCGACGGATCCAACATATAGCCTTAAGCAATCGCCACAATGTCTGGAGATTTTCTTTACCGACATCAGAGTCTGTCCCATACTAGTTACACCATGTTGGAAAGCTGAATAGAAATATTCATCCGTGAGGCAATCGAACGAGATATACTTTGCCCATTTCATAAATTAAACGTGTTTATTCACTGTGAGAGATACCTGTACAACATCATGATCATCCACTTTAAGGATTGCTGTCGGAAATGTCATACCACTGGTGGTATCCACAGTGTGTAATGTTCTGGAAACTGCTTGCTTGACCCTTACCTTTGACTGGAGATGTTCCCTAATATATTCCACTATTTTTAATTATACTTTTTTATGCTAATCTCCTTAACACTAGCCTGAAGTTTCGAATGGCTGGTTAGCCCGTTTCCGGCCAGCGGGACGTAGTTTCAAGCACCCTTGTTGTAAACATTCAGACTGGGCCCTCATAAATCTTCATCAAATTGTTTAGTTGTGTTCTGTGTTATAACAATGTTGATGTCATTAAAATGTATAGTGAATAACAAAAAAAAAAAAAAAGTAAGAATGAAATAAATAAATAAGGCGAAACAATATATTTCACCGCTTGACCTAGATATGAAGCGTCTGATTCGCAATTAGGGCAAACGTTTATAAATTCAGCAATATTTTATATACAATTAGACTTCAAGGCATTTCTGAACACAATGCTAGCAA